CACTATGGCATTACTGGTGTCTTCTCAAGTTGAGGTTGTTTTAGCAGGCAGTCTTTTTGCCAATCTCTCATCTCCTCATCCCGTGGGTGACAGAAAAGATGAATCTTGTGCCCTTTGCTGTTTGAATAAGGAGAGGCTTCTCGGAGAACAGAGTTGGATTCTGTGAATCAAAACTAAGAAGGTTCTTTCTTGGCTTCTGTTTTGGCAGTGGGTCTGAGGGTTGAGCTTTCCTTCAGAAGGCCAGGCTAGCCCAGAGTTCTTCTGGAGGTGCCACTCGCTGCTCCTTGCACTTGGTGTGATTTCTTAGAAACAGGCCCTGTGAACAAGCTCAGACCAAAGGATGTGCTTGTTTTGGACGCTCTTCAGCCAAGGCTGTGGAGGGGAACTTTGTGAAAGCCTTCCTGCCAAAGATGACTCTGTGTGTGCTTGTGAATGTTTCAGAGCTACTGAGAGACTTGCAGAGGCCAACACCAAGCTCTTTTTGGAGCGCCTCAGAAGCAAATCTGCAGTCCCAAGCAGCACCGTCAGCGGACATCTGGCTGCAAGTCCACTTCTGGATTCACCTGGCCTGGGACATCTTGGCATCAGTTTGGGACTGAGCAGAAGCCTGGGTCTCAGAACACCACCCAGACACCTGTGGTAAAGCCCAAGACTTCTGCTCATCAGGTTTGTATGAATTTTCCAGAGTGGTCAAAGGCCAAAAAATATGGAAATGGAAGCAATGAGCTGTGTAACTCCATTCTTTGACAAGAGAAACTGTGCAGGTGCAGGAACCTCCCACCTAAGTTCTACACTAAATTGACACGTATGGTATGTGTGACTTATTTCAAATGGCTAATGTCCCCAGGAATGCCAAATGCCACCAGACATCTGTGAGACACCTTTTACTTCATCATTGATCTTTGTTCTAGCAGTTTCTTCACTGGACCTTGCTTTAATATGTTACAATGGATAGGAGGCATTTGCTCCTGTAGTTCCTGCTACATCTTCCTCCGTGAAACAGCAGAGCTCCCTACTCCTTGGTAAGTTTTCATGGCCTTCTAATTTTGCAGCAATGCTTCAAGCTCTGCAATACCACTGGTCCAAGTATGCCCTGTAGTCAGCAGTCAGTGTGATAGCACACCCCTCCCAGAATGCAGAGCAT